AATGACAAATGACAAAAAGGAATGACATATTTGGCAAACATTCCAACCAGACAATAGGTAGGATTTAGTGACAAGCTGAAATATTGATTAGGTAGAATAAATCAAGAATAACTTCCAAGTTTCTTTAAAATATTCTTTCAAAGGAAGACCCTGTCTAAAAAAAAAAAAAAAAAAACAAAAGAGAATGTCAAGCAAGACAAAAAAGAATGACAAAAAGGAATGACATATTTGGCAAACATTCCAACCAGACAATAGGTAGGATTTAGTGACAAGCTGAAATATTGATTAGGTAGAATAAATCAAGAATAACTTCCAAGTTTCTTTAATAGAGGGAATATTCTTTATCTAATATAGGGGATTCAGTTTTGCATTTAACTAGACACCCTCAGTATTAAATGTACAAATATGAAGTTGAATAAACCCCTGCCTTCAAGGGCCTCACAGCCTATAAAAGGAATAAGCATGTACTTAACAAACTACCAATAACTCATAACAGAAACAACCAGAAGACTCAAGGGTAGAAAAATAACTAATTCATGTAAGGTTTTCATATCTGGTTTTTATATCATGTTATTCGCTATCAAGACAGAAATTCCAGTTGGCAGTTTAAAAAAAATAGTATTGTAACTTAGAAGAAGAGTAAAGATGATATTGAAGGGGGGGGGACCCCAAACAATTTAGGAAGAAATTTTAGAATGAAAAAAAATGGACAATATAGAGTTTAGAAGGCAGGAAAACACGAAAAATTGGAGCACTAGATAAAAGAAACAGAGACTAAAGAATACTTACAGGAAAAAGGGAACCCAGAAAGAATGGTAAAGCAAAAAGGAAACAACAGTTCAAAGAAAGTGGTCAGCAGTGACCAAGATCTCCCAAAGATGAAGCACAAGAAAGCTGAACACGGCTATTAGATTGGCATTCGAGGACTGATATTCCTGAAATGAATCACATAATTCTCCTTTTAGAAAATTTTCTCATGCCCATCACAGGCAAATCAGAAACAGCTCACAAATTTCAACCCTATCAATCCTATCTTCTGTCACTGTCAAATCCTCAGCCAGGTGTATCAGTTACTCACCGAACTGCTCAATTATTCAGGTACATTTGGGGAAAACTGTAAAGACCACTTACAAATTTAGGATTTTTTTTAAAGTATGGAACCCATAAGCCACATGAGGAAAGTATTTCAAGAAAGGAGTAAAGCCTTTTACAAGCTCAAATACAATACAAAAGTCTCCATCTGTTTTACCCCCAGGGAACCACTGAGGACCTTAGCAGAGTGATTTCAATGTTACAGAATGGGTGTGATTGGGTTCCAGAAAGACAGGAATAAAATCCAGGGCACAAGAGTAGGGACTGTCCTTAGGAGGAAGCAGAGACTTATTGTATTCGAACATGTAGAAGAGAAAAAAAAAAGCATAATTTTAAGTTCAGGTTACACTCAAGGGTTAAGCGACAATTTGAAGTTTTGAGGAAAAAAGATTCTGGAAGTTTGAAGGCAGAAATTTTTCAAGGTTAAAAGATTTAAATAATCACTGTGGAGGACGAGTAAGAGAATTATTATATATAGGAAAATAAAGAAGGCTAACTGTCCAAAAACTGATTCCAAATCCTGGAATGTACCCTACTCAACCATATATTCATTGTTTGGAATATGTTACCCCTTCCACTTGTTTACCTAGGATGGGCCTAGTTACACTTCAACACTAACTCCACCTACAAAGTCTTTCTTGGCACTCCCTAACCAATTCTAACACTTTGCTAACATTCTCTGAATTACGACTTTACTTTGTACATAATCCTACTGCTACTCTTCAAATATCTGCAGTACCTATCTTTAAACTTCCACAAGGTAATTTCCCCTTGACATAGTGAGCTAATTAAGAGTGGAAAGTTTATATCCATTACAGGAGTTCAAAACTTTGTTAAACTGAATTTAAGTTAAGACACAAAGATAAGATGCATTAGACAGAGCTCCAACCTAAAGCACCCAACACAACCTAATTCAGGAAACATCATCATCAGTTTTGACAAAGTATATAAATTATCATGAAAGGGCTAAGTACTAATTAAGGCAGTATAAAATATTCAGCAGTCAAGGAAAATCAAAACTTTATTTCAATCACTTATAACCCACTTTGGTGTAATATGTGCATGTGCTTCTCACACTGACATTCAACTAAAACAACTCTTCTGCACCTACTGTATGCAGGATACTGTAACAGCATGGAATTTAAAAGTGGGGAGGGCTTCGCAAGACCTCAGAAGTAATCAAGGAACGTATGCAAATAATGTTAACACAAGTAGAATGTGATGCCCATTAAGAAAAAACTAAGTGAGAAAGGCTTAATACCTTTCAAATCTGAACTTAATTCTGCCTCTGAGAGTAGAGACGTGTTAACTGGATTAATACAACTGAACGTGCTTTTCAAATGTACTCGAGTTAACTTGGGGCAGTTTCTTTCCACCCGACTGCCGAATTTGATACAAGTGGATAATACAAGACAGCAAGGAGTCACCTGTACAGCTCAAGAATTTGAGTTGTTTCAAACTCTGCTTTTAGGGTCCTCTTTCCTTAAACGTCGGTGTGTCACCTTTCTGGGTGGACTGACACTTTTGGACGCGGACGCTAAACCCTACGGTCCAGAGCTGGCAGCGGCAGTGACTGCCACCGCGAGTCAAGGCGTGGGGGGGTTCGGAAACATCAGGGAAGCCCCAGGAGCATAAGGAGCGATTAAATAAAACAGGACCGACTAGGTGTCCCCAAGACATCCTCGGGGAGCGGGGAGCACGTCGCGGAACCAACGTGTGGGACAGGGCAATCCCAAAGCCAGGGGGCCGGGCGGAGGGGAGTGGCCACGTCCAGCCCGGAAAACTTTGTACAAAGCGACGAATCCGCGGCCTCAGGCCAGGCGCAGGGCACGGCGGCCGCTCCCGGCCAGATCCCGACGCCTTACCGTCCTGCAGGAGTTCCCGGACAGTGGCCCCGGCCGCCGCGGAACCCGATGCCCCGCGACCAGCCACAGCAGTACTGCAGTTGCCACCTTCCATGTTGGCAGGTGCCGGGTTGATGGCGTCACGGGGTCGCCCCGCCCAGTTGGTGACGCAAAATCCACTCGCCGCTGTCTCTGGCTGCCTGAGGCAGACGCAAGCCTGGAGGGCTGAGGTGGGCCTAAGGAGCCGGCGAATGCTGGGACTCTGGTGCTGCCCCACCTGCGCGAGGAAAGGTCGGGCGCCGTGCGGGCCTTCCCCGCCTCAGAGCTCGGAACGTGGCCGCCGCGTCGATCTCCCAAGCAAGTATTCGGCCTGAGAACCCCGGCCTTGAGGCGTCGGGTTCCGGAAGCTTCGCTGCCCTGCCTCTGCACCCTGCACGCGCGAGGTAGCCGCTGCCGGGCTTTGTCTGTACTTCGCTTGGAGTGCGGTCCCGGGCGGCAGACGGGAAACGCTTGGAAGTTGCTAAACGCTGTCCTAAGTACCTAATAAATCCAACCGCATTAAATACCCTTTATTCAGGTGAACCGGTCTCAAGCTTACACTGCAATTTGGCTTTCGCTTGACCACGTCTCAGAGGATTTTCTATAATACAATGTTTCTCAGTCGTGATATGAATAGGATTGATCGATGCCAGAGGCAGTGTGCCCGGATTCAGATTTATTTACCCAGACTATACAAAACTAGTTTGCCTATAATAATTCTTTATTAATGACGAATAGCATCTGAATTATAGGATTTTTTTCTTTCCTTAGCGTTCTTATTTTTTACACTGAAAGATTTTAGATAGTGCATGCTAATAATACAATGGAGTTTTGAACCTCCACTGTACATACCAGCACGCATTTACGAACAAGAATCTATCTGTATCGTAAAGGAAATAATAAGGTAGAAGCCTATTTAATCAAACTATTCCGCCAGGTCATCCTATCCAGTGTATGAATTGGTTTATTCTGGTTCTTCCAAGCTTGGCGGCATTAAAAAAAAAAAAAAAATGATACTGATACTGATACTTGCATTCCTTAAGTGCCACATCATTTAATTGATCTTGGGTATGGCTTGAGCATCTTGATTCTTAAAAGCTCCAGGACATTCTAATGTACAACCAAGGCTGAAGGGTACCAATTTGTTCAACAAATGTGTATCGAGGGAGACCTTCTTTACACCATTTAGTCTGACTATAAGAACAATAAGAAAGAAATTCTTGGTGCAGTCAATAATGACGTTCTTAGTATTTACCTTCCTTTTCTGTGATGTTTAAGGTGCTTTTACTTCCTTTGAGATATTCTTCCCACTCTTATTTTTTTAAATATATCTCCAGCTTTCTTCCTTCTAGCTCCACACACCAAGACCAACTCTCTGACTCAGTCTCATTTACAGTCCCCCTTTTCTCTGTTAAATGTTCGTGCTTCCAACATTGGCCAGGTTTTATTTTAACTTGTTTCAAAAGGTTAAAGACTCCCACTTTTGAGTAATTAGACCTTGTGAGGTTAACTTTTATCTGACTGTAGATTACAGAGGCAAAAATTGAAATACAAAAAACAGTCAACACCATGAAACTAGGATTTTAAGGAAAATGTGGGAAGTATAAAAATTTCATTATTTGTACTTATTAGAGTTAGAATAAAAAGACCAAGATTTGTTTTCAAACACTACTGAAAGTTTTCTTACCTTTCCTAAATAAAACAAGATATTCCAAAGTGTCCATCATGAACATATTAAACTATAAGTAATTCAAAGTCCTTGGTTTATCACCAAAGTAAAATGGATAAAATGAACAAGTAATACGAGAGTGAGCATGGTGGTGTACTAGTGTAATCCCAGCACTCTGGAGGCTGAGACAAGATGATTTCTAGTTCAAGGCCAGCCTTGGCTATACAGCAAGACCATATCTCAAAATACAAACAAGTAATATGCAAAATTGTAGCATGATGTATTCTAGGACAAAACCTTGTAGTTGTCCACATCTTGTTTCTCTAGATCTGCCTTGTGCAGTTTTTGACATTTATCCTATAAATAGAGGCAGAATTTGGCAGGATCCTCTCTGATAATGTGAAAAGAAGCTGGAACAATTTCTGAATCTACGGACAGATGAAAAATGTTGGCAACTGAAATTGTTAGAATAATGGGTGAGGTTTTTTGTTTGTTTTTGTGGTTTTTTTTTTTTTTTTTTCTGGTTATAATGAGTTCAACTCAGGGTCTCTCACTGCTAGGTAAATATCTTGTCATGCCACAAAGCTACATCTTTAGCCCAGTGATGGGAATTTATGTAGCTAAAATACATTTTTCTCTTTGTAAACTGATGATCTTTTTCAGATTTTTAAAATAATCTGTACATGAGGAGTGACTCCATATCAACTACACTATGTCAAGAAAGAAAAAGAGACCCAATAGAAATGTTTCATTCTGGACAGCTGATAAAAGTCTGTGCCCCGATGGTTCGATATTCAAAGTAAGTGTTGTTAAATGATTAATGAGCCAAGATTTAATTTTCCTTAATGTACTACTTTGTTTTGGGGGGGGGGGTTAGTACTATATTAAACACTCAACTGCAAAAGATCTTCAAAGTCCTAGCTTTGGAGTCATGATTTAGAATTGAGTCCTAGTGCTACCACTTACCTGGTGTGTGTATGACTGCAAGTAAACAATCTTTGTAAACTTCACTTTGTGTTGTTTTGTTTTTTAAGACAGGGTATCATGTGTCCCAGGCTGCCTCAAACTTGCTGTATCGGTGAGGGTCTTGAACTGCTGATCCTCCTGCTTCTACCTCCTGCATGCTAGGGTTACAGGCATGTACCACCATGCCCAGTTTATGCAGTGCTAGGCAAGCACTCTAGCAACTGAGCTACATCACCAGCCCAATATTTGTGAAAATGGTAATGTACAAGGATATAGTAAAAAATTTTTTTGTAAATATTAAATGGATGTAAACATGCATGTACAGGTCTTTGGTGAATATACATCTTGGGACAAAAGCAAGTGGTATAATTGCTGAGTCATGGGGTAATTTTATGCCTTGGTTTTATTTTTTAACTGCCAAACTTTTCCAGAATGGAGATTACAATTTTATACTTCTCATCCATACCAACTTCTAATAATGACCCTTTTTATTTTAACTATTTTGACAGATATGTAGAGATACCTATATTTTGATTTTAAATTCTATTTCCTGTAGTCTAGTGATATTGAATATCTTTCATATGCTTATTTACCACCTACATATTTTTGAAGAAAAATATGTACATATTCTAATTAGATTGCTTTTTTTTATACTATTCAGAGTTTTTCAGCTTTTAATTGTTATAAAATACACATAATAGACATGGTGGCACTCACCTATAAAGCCAGTATTCAAAGAGGCTAAGGCAGGAGGATCATTGAATTTATGGCCAGTCTGGGCTACATATTGAGATCCTAATTCACAGACTAATAAATACATATAACATTTACCTCTTAGGGTTTTTTAAGATGTATTTTATTATTTTTTTAACGTGTATACATATATCGTCTGCATGTAAGTACACCTGTGTCATAGAATGCCCACGGAGGACAGAAGAGGGTGTCATATCCCCTGGAACTGCAGTTATGGACAGTTGTTAGTTGCCATGTGAGTACTGGGATTCAAACAAGAACCACCAATGTTCTTAAATGCTGAGCCATCTCTCCAGCCCCCTAAGATGTATTTTATTTTTATTTATGTGTAGATGCGTGTCTGTCTGTATGTATGTATGTACAAGTTGTATGCAGGCACCTCTTCCTAGAAGTGGGAGTTGGGTCCACCAGCACTGGAGTCACAGGCATTTGTGAGCTGCCTGATGTGCATGCTGGGAACTGAACTGCAGCCCTCTGCAAGAGCAGCAAGCACTCTTAACCACTGGCCATCTCTCCATTCCCTCCCTTCTTAATTATCTTTACCTGTACAGTGTGCAATAACTCTTCATCCTCCTTTGCCCCAGCCATTATGCTACTTCTATGAATTTGATTATTCTGGATATCTCATGCAAAGTTAATCACGTATATTTGTCTGTGTGAGAATAGCTTATTTTACTTGCCATTTTGAGACTAGCTTATTTCAAGGTTCATACATATTGTAGTATAAACCAGTTTTTTTAAGGGGGAATAATAGTGCATTAGGTGGAAATACTTGTTTTATTGAGACGGGGTCTTACTATGTACCCCTAGCTGACCTGGAACTTACTGTGTAGACAAGGCTGTCCTCAAAAATCCCAGAGATCTGCATGCTTCTGATTACTGAGTGCTAGACTTAAAGATGTACCACCAAACCCAGCTACATTTTGTTTTTCTATGCATCTGCTGATAGACATTTGGATTGCTTCCATAATTTGGCTGTTACAGATCATGCTGCTATGAACATAGGTATATAAATATCTCAGATACTGTTTCAGTTCTTTTTGGCTACTCAAATGGATTTGCTGTATCATATAGAAATTCTGTTATATTTTCTTAGGAACCGTACTGTTTTCCATCAAGGCTGCACCTTATCTTACACCCAGCAGTGCATAAGCGTTCAGTTCCTCTTACATTTGACATCTGTTTATTCTGTTTTGTTTTAATCATTATACTCTAACGGGTGTGAAGTAGATCTCTTCCTTCAATTTGGATTCCGTTAATGACTAGTAATGTTGAGTATTTTTGGTGTACTTCTTGGATATTTTATATTTTCATTGTAGAAATGCTTATTCACACTGCCTGTTTTTGAATTGAGGTTTTCATTTGTATACTCTTGATTGCTGAAGTTTATTTACATACTCTAAATGCTACTTCTATGTGATTTGCAAATTTTTTCTTACAGTATGAATCTTGTTTTCTCATCCTCTTAGCAGGGTATTTATGAAGTCCAGCTCATCATTTTTCTTTGGTAAATTGTGCTTTGAGTGTCAAATATAAAAAAAAAAATTGTTATTCGTGTATGTGTGTGTGTGCATGCATGTGTGCGCACACACATGGATTAATGTGGGCATGTGGGGGGTGCAGCACATGTATCATTACATAGGTGGAGGTTAAAGAACAACTTGCAAGAGTCAGTTCTCTCCTTTCTTGTGGGTTCCAGGGATCAAACTAAGGTCACTAGGTTGTGGGTCAAGTACCTTTATCTGCTGAGCCATCACATCAACCCTTGTGAGAAATCTTTGTAGCTCAAGATCCTAAAGCTTTTTTTCCTCCTGAGTTTTCTAAGTTTTATATACTCCATTTGCATCTATAATCATTTCAATTAATTTTATGTCAAAAGTTAGGTGAAAGTTCATTTTGCTACCTAGGGATGTCTAGTTACTCCAGCACTATTTGTTAGAATATATTTGCTCTAGTGAATTATTTTTTCTTTTGTCAGAAATAGATTTTTATTTTGTTCCAATGATTTATGTATCTGCCCCTCCATAAATATCACAGTGTGGATTACCATCTCTACATAATAAGCCTTGAAATCAAGGGACTGATAACCTCTACTTTTTCTTTTAAAAAATTGTTTTAGCTGTTCTTGTTATTTTCCATGTAATTTTAGAATGTTCTTGTCTGTATCTACAAATGTCTTGCTAGAATTTCTATAAGAATTGTGTGAAGCCTGTATAACCATTTGGGGAGAATTAATGATCTTCACTATGTTGTGTCTCCCAAGTCATGAAAATAGTATGTCTCAGTTAATAGATTTCTTTCTTTCATCGCTATTGTATAGTTTTTAATATACAAGTTCTATACATGTTTTATAAGACTTAGACCCAAATTTTTCTTGAGTGATTTTTATATAGTATTGTATTTTTAAAATTTATTATTAGTGTATGTGTCTGTATGATAAGGGTTGGGGGAGCATGTATAACATGGCACACATGTAGCATTCAGAGGACTACTGTGTGAAGTTTGTTCTCTCCTTCCACCTTTATGTCAGTCTGGTCATTGATGGGTTGTCAGACTTTTGTAGGAAGCACTTTATCCTTGAGTCATCTCTAGACATTGGTGTATTTTTAAGTTTTGTTTAAAAGTTAAAAATTAAGTTATTAAGAGTTCATTATTAATTCATTAAGAGTTTATAAAAATATATTTGTGTTTGTATATTGAGCTTATGTCATAAACTTTAGCTCACTTGTTACAGATTTTTATAAATTTCTTGGAGTTTTCTGTGTAAACCACCATCTCGTAAAAACAAATTTATTTCTTCCTTTTGATATCAGGCCTTTCATTTCTTTTTCATGCCTTATTGCACTGACAGGAAGTGCCCACTATTTTGAATAAGCAATAAGAACAGATACCTTTTTTTGTTCCTGTCTTGGGAAAAATGTTCATGCCATTATTTTATGAGTGTTCTTCCTCAAATTAAAGAAGCTCTCCTATAGTTCTGTTTCTCTGAGGTTTTGTTTGTATTATCATGAGTAGGGATTTTTTTGTCAAATGCTTTTTTAGTATCAGATGATGTAGTCATGATTTTTTAATTCATTATCATGTTAATATAATGAATTGTACTGAGTGAATATTGAAATTTCTGATTAGCTTTTCCTGACACTTCCATCAGAAAAGGGGGTGGAGAGAGGCATCATCTCATTACTGTCAACATTATGTCTCAGTTCTCAGCCTGACTTCCTTTTATATCTGGGGGATGAGGGATTCCTTGTTACTATGAGCAAGAGTGAGAATTCCAGTTCACTTTGATGGAGGTAGGCAGTACTGAAAGTCCTGGCTATAGGCCTTACTGGATACTACCACCATATTGGAAATATTGGAGTACCTTAGAAAGGTAAAAGTTTGGGCTCCCCACTCAACATTTCCTAGTGAATGTGAGTCCATAACTTTTTATATGGTGTTAACTTATTTTTCTAAGATTTCAGCCATGCTGGCTTCCCCTTTCCTGGTCCTTTATTAGAGAGATATCTGAGGGTCTGCATTCACTGGTGATTCCAGGTAGCCAGCTGCATCAGTCCCAAGTCTGAGGTGTTTAAAGCAAAAAGAAAAATCCAGAAAACTCGCCATCCTCTCATTTGTTGTGCTATGAAGCCACTAGTCTGTTATCCCCTTTCTATCTTTTGGAATTTTCCTATAATTGTTTTATATAAATAGTATTGAGTTTGTTAGTTATACTTAACAGATAGACTAGGGAAAAGTACATACTTTTTTATCTTCACAGATGCAAATTTTTCTTTAATATTTAATAATTAACTAAATTGAACTTGCAAATACATATTATTTTCTAAATGCATAATTAAAGTTTTATATACCCACAGGTTGGCTTTTAGAACACTAGTAAGGAAATACTGTTGTGATCTGTGTTATACACCAATGATAGTTGCTGCTGATTTTGTCAAATCTATAAAAGCCAGAGACAGTGAATTTACCACAAACCAAGGTACGTGAAACCTGTAGTTTGCTGATTTGTAAAACAAAAATTTTATAAATTCAGCTACCTTATCTAACTAGAGATAACATAATTCAGAGATTATATTTTATAATCCTTTAGTTCTTAAGTATCTTTAGTATTTTAAATATCATAATAAACTGTCACTGCTCTATCAAAATGTAAAGTTGGCCTTTCTTAAGGCCCCCAAACTTTCTGTCTTCATTTATCAGAATAAATCCTTGTCTCACTGCCTGTTGTCTTGTTTCATTCAAACTATCCTCCAACAGCCCAAATCTGTCTAAAACATAAATTTGATCATGTCCCTTCCCTGCTTACAGTCCTTCTTAGACCTCTTATTGCCGAAAATAGTGGTTCTCAATATGATTCCTAGACCAGAAGGCATCATTATCATTTGGAAACTTATAGAAATAAACATTTTCAAACTCTTCTTCAGACATGCTAAATCAGAAACTTTGGATGTGATCTGAAAAGCTACCCAGGTGCTCTGGACTTGCTAACAGTTGAAAATCACTGGCTTAAAGGCTAGAATTCCAGCATCTCGGGCTAAAAGGCAAAGTCCTGCATGATTCAACCTCTGAATACATCTGCAGCCTTACTGTGGATAAACTTCTTGAATTTGAGCATGCCTTGCTCCCACACTTTCCTACCAAGAGCTTCTTTCCAGTCATGCCTACCCCCAAATTACATACCCCCCCTTCCCATCTACCTTGCAAAAACTACAGTTCATGATTCTTAATCCACTTGTCAAAGTTTGCAGCCAAGGAACCTTTCCTGATCACTGTGCTCTCTTGTCCTCTTACCTGCTCATCTCTCCCACTGGATTATAGGTTCCTGGCAGGCCAGAGCTATAGAAATAGCTTGATTTGTATTCTCAGCACCCAGTGGTGTTGAAAATATATTAGACCAATAAGTGGTTGTTAAAGCTCTGCAACTTGAGGTACTACAATGGAAAGCGCCCTACATGCCAATGAAGAAAAAAGCAAGCTCTTTCCCATCATAATCTTGTAAATCAGAGAATTGCCATAGAGATCTTGATCAGTGCAAATGAGGTAATACCTAAAAATCTGCCTTTTATAAACCCCAGTGATTTCATAGACAATCTTCAAGAAGGCTGTAGAAATGTTAAAATGCATCTTTCCAGAATTTGTAACACTATCCAAAGTTGAGAAAAATATGTTCTTTAAAACCAAGGAAAGCTCTGATACATTTGGCAACACTAAATTTTAAACTTTTACATATAGGTGTACAAATATAATCAAAGATAAACAGAACTAAAAAATATAACACATGTTGGCTGGACATAGTAGCGCACGACTTTAATCCCACCACTCGGGAGGCAGAAGAAGGCGGATCTCTGTGAGTTCGAAGCCAGCCTGGTCTCCATAGTGAATCCAGGCCAGCTAGGGCTACAGGGAGACCCTGTCTCAAAAAGACCCAAACAAAACAAAACAAAGAAACAAACAAAATATATATATATATACACACACACACTAGATGGAAGAGCTAATTTTTTTTTAACATTACAAATTAAAAAAAAAAAAAAAACAGCTGGGTTTGGTTGGTACTACAGGCCTTTAATCCCAGCACTAGGGAGGCAGAGACAGACAGGCAGATCTGTGAGTACCAGGGTAACCAAGGCAACATAGATCCCTGTCCAAAAAAAAAAAAAAAAAAAAAAAAAGACAATAAGCAAGTAACAGAATTGCATATAGAAAATGTGAAAATGGGGGCTAGAGAGATGGCTCAGCAGTTAAGAGCGCTAGCTGCTCTTGCAGACGACCCAAGTTCTATTCCTAGCATCCACATGGTGACTAACAATTGTCTGTAACTCCAGTTCCAGGAGATCTGACACCCTTTTCTGACCTTTGCAGGCATTGCACGACATGGGTGCACTTACATACATGCAGGCAGTACTCACATACATAAACTAAAAAGAAAATGTGGGGGCTGGAGAGATGGCTCAGTGGTTAAGAACACTGGTTCTTGCAGAAGACCAGGGTTCGAATCCAAGCACCCACATGGCAGCTAACTGTCCGTAACTACAGTCCCAGGGGATCCTACAGCCTTTTCTGACCTCCGGGAGCATTACATGACACGGGTCCACTTACCTACATGCAGGCAATACACTCATACACATAAAATAAAAATAATTTTTTTATTGTGAAAAATATAAAACATTTAATAATAAAGGTATGCAGGACGGGAGAGATGGCTCAGCAGTTAAAGAGCACTAACTGCTCTTGCAGAGGACCCAGGTTCAATTCCCAGCACCTACATGGCAGCTAACAGCCATCCTCAACTCCAGCTCCAGGGGATCCGATGCCACCTTCTGACCTCTGTGGGCATTGCATGACATGGGTATACTCATGCATGCAGGCAGTACACTCATACACATAAAATAATAGAATGTTTTTAAAAATAAAATATATACAAATATTGATTGGGGGTAACTTGTAAGGAAATAAAGACTTCATATTAATGTTTATGTAGATCTGTAAACTCTTAGAAAATAGTTTTGTACTATCTGTGTTCAATCCTTATTCATCAGTTATACTTCTAGGTATTTTCCTAGGAATAGACTCAAAAAGCATGTGTGCCATTTAGAAAATAGTATGCAGTCCATCAGTATGGTAGAATATGCCACTAAAATAGAAGAAAATATATCTAAGTGCATTTCCCAGATACATGAAAAAAGAAGAGCAAATGGCATAGCTGTGTATATGGAATATTCACATCCATTTACATTTAACAGGGATATACATAAGTGTGGAGGGGTGTCATTCCAGAATATAATATTCCCACCTTTAAGAAAAGGGTCTACCCAAAGAAAAGTAGCCAGTTTCTTGGCTAAAAGTCAAAATGTCCTTGAGCCTCTTAGGAACATTCTCTGTTCCAAGGGCCAAAAATGTCAAAAGTATTTGGCAGCTCTTATCTAATCCATAAAAAATTTTAGGGTTACCTCTTCAGAGGGAGGAATATTAACAGTAGCAAAAAGCCCCATTTAAAAAAAGAGAAGAAGGAAGGAAGGGAGGGGGGGAGGGGAGGGGAGGGGAGAGGAGAGAAAGAAAAAGAGTACACAAAGTTGTCAGAAAAAAGTGATGGGGAGGTATAGGGGTGTTGAAGGGGAGGGAGTGGGCGTGAATTTGATCAAAACACCTTATGTGCATGTATGAGGTTTTCAGTAAGGTTTTTTTTAAGTTTAAAAAAAAGGGGGGGGGTGTCCAGGGGCTGAAAAGGTGGCTCAGTGATTAAGAGCACTGGCTACTCTTACAGAGGACCTGGGTTCAATTCCCAGCACCCACAAAACAACAACCATCCTAACTCCAGTTCCAGGGGATCCAACACCCTCTTCTGACCTCCATGGACACTGTACAATATAGGTGCACTTACATGCAAGCAGTACACTCATACAAAAAAAATAATTTTTAAAAAAGGGTCTGTCAGGAGTATTGGATACTTTATCAATTTTATACTGTTTGAGTTTGCTTTTATGTTGTATATGTGTTTCTGTTCTGTGGATTTTAATATCAAACTGTCCATTTTTTTATCAGGTGATTGCCCGTTGATTGTTCAGTTTGCTGCTAATGATGCAGGAATTTTAGCTGATGCTGCTCGTATAGTCTGTCCTTATGCAAATGGAATAGACATTAACTGTGGTTGCCCTCAGAGGTAAAGCTCAAAGAAGTTGGAAGAGTTTTCAAGGAGATTTAAAAAAAGTTATGTAAGCATAGTAAAATATGTCTAATTATTAAAAGTCTAAAAGTACAACTGAGCCAGGCGTGGTGGCGCATGCCTTTAATCTCAGCACTTGAGAGGCAGAGGCAGCGCTGTGAGTTCAAGGCCAGCCTGCTTATAGCGAGTTCCAGGCCAGCTGTGGCTACAAGGAGACCCTGTCTCAAAAAACCAAAAAAAAAAAAAAAAAAAAAAAATACAACTGAATTCAATTCCCAGAGCCCACATGATGGAAAGAGAGAACTGACTCCACAGAGCTATCCTCTGACCTCCACATGCATGTGATGGCCTGCACTCATAAGTATACCATGTACACACACAATGATAGATAAATAAACAGTGAGGCTGGAGAGATGACTCAGCTGTTAAGAGTACTGGCTGCTCTTGCAGAGGACTTGGGTTCAGTTCCCAGCACCCACATGGTGGCTAACAAGTCTGGAACTCCAGTTCCAGGGGATCTGATACCCTCTTCTAGCCTCCACAGGCATGGCATGACATGAGTGCACTTAACATCCATGCAGACAAAATACTCATACACATACCAAAAAAAAAATTTTTAAATAATTTTTTAAAGGAAAAGCATAGAGTTAAAGTATTATTAGGGTTCTAAATAAAAAGGAAAAAAAATAAGGAAAGGTTATTTAAGAACATAACTTCAGAGGCCTTTTCTGATGACTGAAATGATTCATATACTCTTGATAAGTATTTTCTCCCTCATCACTAGTTTTGCATGGATCTTCCTTAATCCTCAACCATAACTTGTTTTTTTTTAAGAATCTAATGTTTACAGCTATCCCAGAAATGTATTTTTACTGTAATATCAAATATACTTTCTTTAAAAACTGATTCTGTGGTTTAAGACATACCATTTGTTTTCTTCCAGTTTTTCTTACCTTATCTTACCTTAGTATGATCACCTTTTCCTTTCTATACCACAGTCACTTCACGGGGTTTGAGTTACTGGATGTGAATAAGATAATACTGTGCTGACAAGGGCTGGAGAGATGGCTCAGCACTTAAGAGCTGCTCTTTCAGAGGACTAGGGTTTGGTTCCCAGTACCCACATGGCAGTGCCAGGGGATCTAATACCCTCTTCTGACCTCTCTGGGCACTGCAAGACACCGGTGTACTTACACACATGCAGGCAATACACTCATACACATAAAAACATTAAATTTTAAAAAATACTGTGCTGGCATTGTATTGGGTTATCTGTCAATAATTCAAAATGTGTCCAAAGAATAAAATCAAGGTTTTAAGTAGGGCATAATCCAAATCAGATTAGACTTTTGTATACTCATTAGGAGAGTCAGATAAGCAGTTTAGTGGTATTGGAATGCTGTAAGCCAAAAATATCTTTTCTACACTTGACCCTGATAAACCTTGTTATGCAGAATAAACATCAAAGTTTAAAAATATGAAGTAATTGCAGTTAATACAAACACTTAAATCTGTTTTGGTTGAATGAAGACTAATTTAATATCTCTCTTGCTAGAGAAAACTATTTTCCAGTGGTTTGGGTGTAGGTTAATGTCTTCCTGATCTTTTGAGCCATTTAGAAATGTTCATCTATGAATTTTCAGTCTGCTTCATTTTAGATCATTTCATTATCATTAGGTATAGACATGAGCAATATAGATTGATGTTTACATTTCAGTGCTTTTATAAGTCTACCCTCCCATCTGTTCTTAATCCATCTTGTTGTATGCTTGCTTTATCTAGGTGGGCAATGGCAGAAGGTTACGGAGCTTGCTTAATCAACAAGCCAGAGCTTGTTCGAGATATGGTGAAACAAGTAAGAAATCATGTGGAAAACCCTAGATTTTCAGTTTCAATTAAAATAAGGTAAAGACAATGTTTCTGTCTATTGACAATCTAGTCCATTACTTGGAAAATTTAATTCCTTTTCTCCTAGTGATATGAGAATGTTTGTCTTAAATTAGTAGCTGCAATATGAAATGTTTTTTAGTAAACATATACCCTAATTTTTATTTATAATCCTGATGAACAACTCTTTTATTTACTTATTTTGGTTTTTCCTTTGTTTGGTTTGGTTTGGTTTAGTTTAGTTTGAGACCAGGTCTCCTTATGTAGCCCTGGCTGGCCTGGAACTTGCTGTATAAACCAAGCTGCCCTCAAAGCCACAGAGATTGGCCTGTGTCTGCCTCCGGAGTTATTTTTAGTTGATTTTTATTTTATGTTTATGAGTTTTTTACCTGCATGTATGGAAGTATACCCATGCATGCAGTGCCTAGGGAAGTTGGAAGAGAGCTTTGGATCCCCTGGAACTGGAGTTTACAGATGGTTGTTAGCTACGTAGGTGCTGGGACCTGAACTTGGGCCCTCTTCAAAAGCAGCCAGTGCTCTTAACTGCAGTGCCATCTCTCTGGTCCTCCTTTTCTTATTTTTTTAACAAAAATTAAAACATCCTTTATTAAAAGACTTCACCAAACCTTTATCTTTTAATGAATACTGAAAAACATTTCTGGTATCCAGTAGAAAGCAGGAAAGATACTTGCACCAAAATTTCACAATGAACATAAAACAAGCCTCCAGTTTAGGGGACATGCACTTCATGTGTTAGGATAACATCTTTCTGTTCGTCTATGGCAATACTTTGATGACTCATAAATTTCTTAGAGCAAAAATGGAAAGCACTAGGGAAAGTAAAGACATTTGTCATCCTGTTTTTGCCAGTAGTGAAATAGCTACATTTGAGGTCTGGGTAGGAACTGATCACCAAACAAAACCTTCCTAATAATGGCATGAAATGATAGCAAAGCTAACTAAATAATATAACAGAAGAAACATAATATTAGTAATTTGTTGTTAAAATTTGTGTGCTATAAGCCAGGCATGGTGGCACATGCCTTTGATCCCAGTACTCGGGAGGCAGGGCAGGCGGGTCTCTATGAGATCAAGGCCAGCCTGGTCTACATACCGAGTTCCAGGCCAGCTGGGGCTACTAGGAGACGCTGTCTTAAAAAACAAACAAACAAACAAAAATTTGTGTGCTATAAACAGAGAGCTGCAATTTTGAAATTATAGGATCCATGATGACCTTACAAGAACTGTAGATCTTTGTCAGAAGGCTGAAGCAACAGGAGTGTCCTGGATTACTGTCCATGGAAGAACTGTTGAAGAAAGACACCAGCCAGTCCACTATGGTGCCATTAAAATGATAAAGGAAAATGTGTCTATACCTGTAATTGCTAATGGAGACATCAGAAGCTTGAAAGAAGCAGAAAATATGTGGCAGATTACTGGTTCGGATGGTAAGAAATAAATACTTGAATTTTTTATTTTGTTTTGTTCTGTTTTTTGAGATAGGGTCTCCCTGTCACCCCAGCTTGCCTGGAACTTGGTATATAAACCAGGCTAGGCTCGCTCTCACAGAGCTCTACCTGCCTCTGCCTCTGCCTCTGCTCTGGGATTAAAGGCACATGCCATCACACCCAGCCTGGATTTTTTTTTTTTTAATCATTTAATAAGGGTAAAAAAATGAGAATGGGGGAATAATACTAATTTGATTTTCATGTTTAACATTTCCTATCACAGTGATTTAAAGCTAAGAAAAATTTTAAACCACTATTAGCTCCTATCCTTAGAAACAACAGATTATTTTAGTTGGAGAGCAGCTTTTTGCATGGCCATAGGAGCCAAAGAAACTCTAGAACTGCCATGTAACTTCATTATCCCCTTAAATAATTAACATGCCAGTCCTTATGGTATTTATGCAGGATAGGAGCAAATAAATTCAACTCTAAACAACCCAATTTATGACAGCCTAGATGTCTCCCAAAGTAACTGTAAGACTATTTAGTTAATACAGATACCTTAAAAGAACAGTTTCATCAGTATAATTGGTTTATAAATTACCAAAGGCTGAGCATGGTGGCACACACCTTTAATCCCAGCACCTGGAAGGCAGAGGCAGGTGGATCTCTGTGAGTTCAAGGCCAGCCTGGTCTCATAGTTCAAGGCCAGCTGGGGCTACAGGGAGACTCTGTCTCAAAAACGACAGAAAAAAAAAAGGACCAAAGATAAACTGATTTTGTAATGAATTAGATTAATATGTAATAAAGATATCATGAAATCTCAAAATAATACTTTTAGAAAATACTTTGTTCCATTAAGTTTGAACTAATAACCATGGATTCTTAATTTATGGATAATATTGTATGTTTTAATTTTCAGGTGTGATGGCTGCAAGGGGACTTTTAGCAAACCCAGCCATGTTTGCTGGATATGAAGAAACCCCACTGAAATGCATCCGGGACTGGGTTGACATCGCTCTTGAACTTGGAACTCCTTATATGTGTTTCCATCAACATTTAATGTACATGATGGAAAAGATAACATCAAAGCAGGAAAAAAGAATATTTAATGCACTATCAAGCACATCAGCAGTCTTAGATTACCTTACAGACCATTATGGCATTTGACTGAACTTTCTAAATTATTTCAATGTGTACTTTATCCCTACCATATAAGTCACGGCTTGATTTTTCCTTTAAATCAGTAGCTTTAGCTTCAGTACAACACCAATTCCTTGGGCCAGAATGGAGGTACATGTCTATAATTTGAGCTCTCAGAAGGGGAAGCAAGATAATTGGAAGTTCTAGGCAAGCATGGGCTGTATAGCTAGTAATTTCAGATCAGCCTGGACTTCATAACAAGACTATGTCTCAAAAAAGAAAGAAAAATTTCCACAGAAGCATTTTAAAAACCAGACCTATGCCACATTCTATAAATTTCCAGTTCAGTAGAGCTTGGGTGGACTCAGTTTAGTTTTAAAGAATTTAGGAGAGCTGGGCATGGGGGCACACACCTTTAGTCCCAGCACTCTGGAGGCAGAAGCAGGCCAATCTCTGTGGGATTGAGGCCAGCCTGGCCTACATATCGAGTGCCAGGCCAGCTGGGGCTACAGGGAGACCCTGTCTCAAAAAGACCAAAAAAGAGGGGGGGGCAGATTGGGGGGGAGAGATGATGACTCAGCAGTTAAGAGCACTGGCTGTTCTTGCAGAGGACCCAGGTTCGATTCCCAGCACTCACATGGGGGCTGACCCTCCTTAACTGCAGTTCCAGGGGATCCAATGCCCTCTTCTGACCTCCATAGGCATTGTACTACAGGAGTACACTTACACACATGCAGGCAATACACTCATACAGATAAAATTTTAAAAAAAGAAAAATCCAGGAGAGTCAAACATCCAGTGGTCCTACATCAAATACTGAAAAACTCCTCTAAATTTTAATGGCTTTGGAGGTATTGAAATCTTTCCTGAAAGAATCTGGTTAACATTTTTAAAGAAATTTTTTTGATATCAAGAAAGTACGAGCCATCTGTAAGTTAACAAGAAGTACGTTTTACATTTTTAAAGTGCAGTGTAATAGAATACCAACATCCATATATAATTAAAAAGAACAAGAAATTCTAAATATTCAGAGTACATTTAAAATTCAAATTGGAAAATCAACTGGTACACTTCCTAATTGAAATATATACCTCAAAGTATTTAAGTTACATCTAACTGATTTAGTTAAATGTGATGCCACCTATAATTTAAAAGTAATATTAGGATCTCAACTCTCAGGCCTGCCCAGGCCCACAGCTTCCTAGGCCCCAGACCTACAAGTTTCCATGGCCAGATTTGTGCATCTCAACTCTTAACCAGAGAAGGTTCTTACCAGAGAAGGTTCTTACATCAGATGGCAACACAGAGACTCATAACTAGTCAACATGTAGAGAATAAGAGACCACAGAGTGCTCAACCCTAAATGGGAATGATATATGGCACCCTCTCCTAAAGGTTGGGGATTGTTTTGGAGGGGGGTGGGGCAGAAAGATTTTAAGATCCAGAACTGGTAGACAAATACAAGGAAACTGTTGTCTGGATACCACAGGGTAGTTGCATATATGAACCCACAGTGCTTATGATAGTATGCACGAGACTTGTGCAAACTCAAGGCAGGCAGGAGCCTAGCATGAATTGGGGAGGTGGACAGGAAGCCCCAGCTGAGGATTTATTGGCAACTGATAAATGCTGGGAAAGGGAGAGTCAGTTTTCTTTACTGGTGTGATATCTGGTAGGTTGACCAGACTCCAAGGGATAAACCCACACCCAAGAGCACTTGAGAAACAGATTAAACTTGACAGACCTTTAAAAAATAAGACATGCAGTCTGGGGGTGGGGATAGGTAATAGAAGTCGAGTAGAGATGGGGAGGGGGTCTAAATATGATCAAATGCATTGTATGAAATTCTCAAATCAATAAAACATTTTTTTCTTAGAGTAAGATTAGGGCCAGCAAGATGACTCTGGGTAACAGTGTTTGCTTTGGCCAACCCTGACAACCAGTTTCATCCCTGGGACCCACATGATAGAGAATTATTTTCATGAAGTTGTTTTCTGACTTCTAAGCTGTGTGTGCCTTCGCATGCACGTTTTTGTGTTTTGTGGGTGTTTTTTTTTTTTTTCAAATTTTGAAACGTACATGGAGATCTTTAAATGACATCAGATTTGGTTCATTTGACGCTTTCTACATCATTATGTTACTAATCAGCTGTCCAGAGTCTTGAGTTCTACCTATTTAGAAATCATAGTAGGAGAGCTTTTGGCAGCTATTGTATCCCTCAGCATTTGACAGTAAAGAGCTAGCTCTGGCAACAGCAGGTGACACTCTAGTGTTAAGATTCTTATGCAGGCTTCAAGTACGAGGCCTTCAGTCCTAAGGTACCCACATTGTTACAGCTCTAGTTAGTTCAGGCGTAGGAAGTATGGATTCTCCAGTCCTTGACAGCAGCTAGTGTTACAGCTCCCAGGCCTTCAGTACCATGAATTCAAAGCCTGGGGTGGTGGTTTCCTGGTGTTTGATAGTGGTCACTGTGACTGAGCTCCTTATTTCTGCACTTGACAGCTTCCCAGAACTACCAGGAACCACAATGAACCGGGGCCTGCAGGTTTCTACAGCTTTCTTTCAGCTCTCTGTCCTCTCACCTCTATTTCTACTGTTCTTGTTCCTGCCCTGGTCCATATGCCCTGCTTCCAGCTACCTCTTACTGCTATGGCTGCCTCTATTCGGGCAGCAAGTACAGTTTCTTTTGCCACTGTGACTCTGCTGCTGGCCTCACAGCCCTGAAAATGTGAAAGCCACCAGCTGCTCCCAGGCTGGATCCACCACTTCTGTGAATGCACTGTTCAAATATGGTAGTAAGCAATAGAGAAAGACAGTATCAACCTCTGGTTTCCACACCCACATACACATATATGCAAAAGAAAATTTTTTTGGTTTTAATAGATTTAAGCACAAGCATTTATAATAGACACTTAGGAAAAGGATAGTACACACCCATGTGCAGGTGTGAGCTTCTCAAGGGAGATAATTGAGTATCTGAGCAATAGCCACAACAGCCTTATAATTTTTGATTCTGAAATTACTTTGTTCAGTGGTTTTCTAAGGAATTTTTTTCTTCAGTAAATGAGACCATAAAGTGATTTCCAAGATGCATTGAGTAATCTGATAAGGTACAACCAAATGGGTCTTTCACCATAAAGTTTACAGTCTTTTTGAGGTTCCTAGAAAATTGTAGGTTTACAGCTGGAAAATGAGAAAGGCTATATGTGGTTCATATATGGTTAGGCTTTACACATGATTCATTGCCATTTCATAATTCTTATTTGAAGTATCTCTAATAAAAGAAATATTGTATGCAATCATCACAGCACTTTTGTTAATTGTGCTGAAGTTCTTGACTCAGTGGACAAGAGACTTCTACCAGACTCGAGAGAGGCTCTTTTCCCTTCTTGTGTCCCCCTAATTTTCTATTTCTAGCTGGCCTCACTTTGATACACATTCCCAATATAAATACTGGGGGAAAAAACTTTGACTATACTCACACTTTGAAAACCTGGAAGTGTTCAGGTTCCCTTTTTGTAGATTCTTGATGAAAGAATTTTTAAGTGTACTTGGAAGCACAAAGAAAATTTTACTAGTTTGAAAGAAAAACGGGACAGACAAGGAAATGGAGAAGAGGAAGAGACAAAGTCATGCCTTTTGAGTTGGTGTCGAAGAAAGCTGGCATGTTCAGCAAATGCAGATCCACAAGCAGCTGCATGACCGAAGGGGTGCAAAGAGGGAGGCTTCAGACTTCAGGGAATGAGAAAGCCCACGTAAGTGTCAGGGAAAACACGCTTAGGCTTTTGATAAGCATGCAAAAACAAGGTAGTGGAGTGGGGAGTTGGTTTTGTGGGTTAGAACTCAGAAAAGTAGGCAGGCTTCGTGCTGCACTGCAGAAGGAAACTCCATAAGCAACTGCATTATGGAAAGTATAAGCACAATTTCTCATTAAGAGGCTAATTATTCCTCTCATCTCTTTCGTGTCTTCGGGTGAATCAGATTGGGGGGCGAGGTCGATGTGCCCAACTAATTTAAGAGCTAATTTCTGGTTTAGCTCTTAAGAGAAAATAGTCTAATCTTTGGAGCAGATCCAAATGTCCTGTCTCCATCCAGGGCTACAGATATTTAGATATTTACTCTTGACCAGGAGGCCAAAGGGGTGGCAGGTGTGATGGTTTTCTTTCTAGTGTTGCCAGGGAAATGGGATGTGGGGTGCATCCTCAAGATCTGCCTAGCTAACAGAAGATGGTTGTAAATGAATGTCCCCAAACAGCTCCCTAAACTTCACTGCTTTGTCCCAACCAATGAACAAGAGCAAGAAAACACAGATACATCCTGACTATATAGATTCTACCTTCTCAAAAACAAAATGCTACACAACCACCCGGTCCTGGGGCCGTTCTCAAATTTAGCCCCTTTCCGGACACCGAACGAGGTTTCCACGTAGAGCCGGCAGGAGGGCCACGGAACGGCGCGTCGGAGGCGCTTTAGACTTGGACTCTAACCAGACCGCCGAACTCCCGCCACCTAGTCTGGACTGTCGGTCCGGCTCTTCCGGGAGTGCCCAGCTCGACTGAGAAGTGGAAGTCAGCCCGCTACGCCGCGACGCATCGGAAACCGTGGTTGCAGAGAAACGCCGTCGCGCCTGTGTGACCTCAGCCGGGCCGGGGCGCGCTCCCGGCGGGAGACGGGCGCGCGAGCGGCCGAGCGCGCGGAGCCGGCGGTGGGTAAGGCTGGAGGTGGCGAGTCCGGGCCCTGTGGGGCCTCGCTGATCGGCTGGGCGGGACGGCGGGACACGGCGGCGTCCGGGGAGGTGTAGACCCCGCGGCCTCCGCCCTCGTCCGGTCCCTTCCGGCCCGCTACGCGGCGCCTCGTCCGGCTAGCGTTGGCCGAGCTCCCTGTAGGCCTTGCGCTGCGGGCCGGGCGAGCACCTGGGTTTCTGGGAAACTGAACTATTTCTCTATTTAGGTGTGAAGAGAAAAGCCATGACAGTCCAGTGGGTGGCAGTTGCAAGCTTTCTCTATGCTGAAATAGGACTCATTTTAATCTTCTGTCTACCTTTTATTCCGCCTCAGAGGTAGGAAACCTTCAAATGGTTAAGTATTAAGTATGTGATTAGCTGCGGGGTGTGATGCGGAAACACCTCACAGGGTTAGAAAGTTTTGAGAGGTTGGGCAGGATGGCTCAGTGGTAAGAGGGCGCCTGCCTATCCCTGGAACCCACCTGGTGGAAAGAGAGAACTGACTCCACAAAGTTGCCCCCAACACACAATAGTTCTAAACTTTTGAGAGCAATTTCATTACAGCTCCTCTTTAAATTCGCCTAACAAATTACTCTCTGGTGACAGTATTAAAACACTACATTATATAAAACTTTAGTATGTGTTCAAATAGAATTTCTCCTCCTTTCCTAAAAGAAAAGAACCTAATCTTTTTGGTAGTTTGATTACAGCTATAATAAAGCAATGGTTATACTTTGGGCACTTACCCAGTCTTGACTTCATCTATTACCTTTTTTTTTTTTTTTTTTTCCATGAGTTGGAGCAATGAAATAAACATAAATGTATGAGTGTGAAAATATTCAGTTGGAGCACTGGAGTGGCAGTTTACAAGCCAAAGCCAATAAATGGTTCTTAGTTTTATCCTTTGGGAGCCTGAAAGAAACAATTTTATTGATAGCAGTTTTGTGTTTCATTGCATTCAGAATTAATGAATGTGTATTTTAAAATACTGACTGTAAGCTGGAGAGATGGCTTAGCCATTAAGAGTGTTAGCTGTTCTTGCAGAGGACCCAACACCCACATGGCAGCTAATAACCATCTGTAGCTCCAGTTGTAGGGGATTTGACATCCACTTCTGGTTTCTGTGGGCAGTGCACCCACAAGTGCACTTATATACATGCAGGCAAAACACATACACATAAAAAATAAGCAAAACTGATACCACATTTGATTATTGTAAATATTTGATCTTAAATTACTTGACAGTGTTTGTTTGGCTTGTGTTTGTTTTGAATCTTTGATGGATTTAAAGAAATCCAAAGGGAGAAAGAGCAGTATGCCCCGTCTTAAAACAAAAGCATGGAAAATGTGCTCTTTTCTAATCCAAAGGGTGTATTTGCAGCACGCTTGACTTTATTGTACCAATTCTGATGACATTTTCATGGACACTATTATCACTAAGACTTTGTTATGGTGCAGTCTTCAGTCTTTTCACATATCTTTCTTGTGATTTTTTTCCCCTCAATGTAGTTTTGAGTATGCCTTACCTTTGTAAATATCTAGCTGATGTCTCAAAGTGGGTGTCTTGGAAAGACACCAAAATCCTGGACTCACTTTTTTTTTAAAGAAAAACTTCAGTTGTGCTAAACAGTATATTACCTCTGTACAAATTATTCAGGGAGTGTCACCTCAAATGCAATACTTTGGGTTGATTTCTTTCCTTTTAAAAATTACATAAAACTGGAAGTGTGTATGTGAGCATGGGTACCCATTTGATAGATGGGATGCATCAGATTGTGAAGAAGGGAGAGTTAATGTTGCTCCACGATGCCTGTGATGTAAAGTTTTGAGCTGGAATTTATCATAAGAATGTAAAACCTGGGGACTGGAGAGATGGCTCAGCGGTTAAGAACACTGACTGTTCCTGCAGAAGACCCAGGTTTGAATCCTAGCACCTACATGGCAGCTAACAACTGTCTGTAACTCCAGTTCCAGGGGATCCAACAGCCTTTTCTGTCCTCCATGGGCATGGCACAACATAGGTGCACTTATATACATGCAGGCATAACACGCATACACATAAAAAATTTAAAAAAAATAAAATATTTTTAAAAGAATGTAAAACCTTAAATTATTAATAAATAACTATTTTGGCTAAAAAATAAATCAAAAAATGTTTCATACTGAATATGAAAAAATATCAGAACCATATAATATTAGCATTGCTCTCTTAGTAAAGAAACTCCTAAAGGCATTAAGAACTAAGTATGCAACCTACACATTGACTAACTTTACCCTTTTACTAATTATTTGTCGTTAGTTTTAGATCCAGGAACTTGATAACATGAATGACGAAACATAATGATGTTGCAAGATATTTCTTTGTACTCCTGACATAAAATCAAAACGTAGATTACAAAGATAATCCACTAATGCACAGTATAGAAAAATCCCAGAACCACAAGACTCTTGGCTCAGGGTCCAGGCAGCCTTAAAACTCCCAACTTGGGGCTGCAGAGATGGCTCAGGGGTTAAGAGCACTGACTGCTCTTGCAGAGGAGCCAGGTTCGATTCCCAGCACCCACATGGCAGTTAACAACCATCTGATGTCCTCTTCTGACCTCTATGGGCATTTCACGACATTGGCACACCTACCTACATGCAGGCAATATATTCATACACATGAAATAAAAATAAAAATTTTAAAACCTCTTGTTCTTTAGATTTCAGCTCACATCTGTTCTTTCAATTTTTTTTTTCACTTTTTTCTTCCTTACAGAAGAAACATATTAAATCATACTGTTAGGAGCGGATATAGCCAATTATATCCACCAACTCACTGATTCTGTAGATCATGTACTAAACTCTAGAGAGAACCTATGCCCTGATCTAGGTCACCCAACTGGTCTGTGACAGATTCCGAACAAGAGTGTGGCTTTCAGTCTGCTGTTGTTTCTGTTCCATTACCCTACCTCAAATTTCAGATCCTCAATGGTGCTGTTTTACTTTTTTGGTAATATTTGCAAAAGTAGAATCCTACATATTCAAGAGATTTTTTTTTTTTTTTTTGGTCTTTTTGAAGCAGGGTCTTCCTGTAGCCTGAAGCTGTCCTGGAACTCACTGTGTAGACCAGGCTGGCCTTGAACTCATAGAGATCAGCTGCCTCTGCCTCCCAAGTGCTGGGACTACAGGCATGCGCCAGCACGCCCGGCTCAAGAGATCTTTTTAATTAAAAGACTGATTTATAAATAAGGTTTAGGAATTTGAAAAAAAATGTCATTTCATCTTTTCTTCCTCAGAATGATTTATGACCAGTCTATTCCCTCTTGCCATTTCAATTTTGTACCTGGATCCTTATTCATTAGCTATTAGGAAGCTGTGTGTCTCTGTATACATGATATATGAATATTCTTATGTAAAAAATGTGGAATGTTTGCACAGAAATCATCTATGTTCCTATGTTTGTTTATCCACATTTTTTGTATGTGTATCACCATCTTCAAAGAAAAAAAAATCTTCACATTGTCTGGTCTTTTCTCCCATAGTCCAGCTGTTAAAGGCACATATTCAGGAACCACTCTGCATTTATATTTCTAATTCCCCATGTTATCGTGTGGTTTGGGGCAAATTATTTACCCTCTCTGGTCCATTTCCCTATTTATAAAGGGAGATAATACTAGTGTCTGCCTCATATGGTAGTGCGATAATTAAATGAGATAAAGCTGTAAGTGTTTAAAACCAATAACATATTGACTCCGTGTATATTAGCTATTATTATCTGCTCTTGAATTGAGTCTTACTGTAAACTCCTAGGTGATCCGCACAGGGGTCTTCTTACATTTCCTCTTTTATTCTGCAAAAAGTGGATCTACATCATGGTGTTGCTTTTTTTTTTTAGGCAGGGTCTCCCTGTAGCCCCAGCTGGCCTGGAACTCACTATGTAGACCACTCTGGCTTTGAACTCAGGCTTTGAGCTCACAGAGATCTGACTGGCTCTGAATGCTGGGATCAAAGGTGTGCACCACCACGCCCAGCCAGCATTGCCATTTATTTATTTATCTATCTATCATCTATCTATCTGTCTGTCTGTCTGTCTGTCTGTCTATCTATCTATCTATCTTATCTATCATCTATCGAGACAGGGTCTCATCATATAGCCCTGGCTGGCCTAGAACTTGTTATATAGACCAGGCTGGCCTCAAACACAGATTTGCTTGCCTCTGCCTACCAAGTGCTGGGATTAAAGGCATGTGCTATTACACATAGCACATTTGTATTCTCTCTTTTTTAAAATTTTTTATTTATTATTTTTATTTTATGTATATGCGTGTATTGCCTGCATGTAGGTGAGTGCACTGTGTCATACAGTGCTCATGGAGGTCAGAAGAGGCCGTCGGATCCCCTAGAACTGGAGTCATGGACAGTTGTTAGCTGCCATGTGGGTGCTAGGATTCAAACCCAGGTCTTCTACAAGAACAACCAGTGTTCTTAACCACTGAGCCATCTCTCCAACCCTGTATTCTCTTTTAAAAGAGAAAATGTGTAAAATTTAAGTAGTGTCTATATAAAAATGCCTAGAAGTTGATGCATGGAGGCAAAAGAAACTGCTTTATCAGTCTTCTCAAATTCAAGTTTTTACTGAATTCAATTTTATTAATAATTTATCATAAACTTAGTTAAGTTGTAAGTGAAAAACATTTAAGTACTTATCACCTTTATGTGTCTTCTTTGGACTCAATGAATGTGTTTTCACTTAAAATGCTTTTATACAAAGTTTGTTACCTTTCCAGTTGTAGGATGAATATCTTCGTCAGTCTTTGCTGTTTTTAACTCATTTGTTTCTGTGGCTTTGCTTAGTCCACTCAATCCATCTGGACTTTTTGTTTCCTCGTTTCATTTCCTGTGTGTTCAGACCTAAACCTGGGTAGTATATACATGTGTAAAAGTTTATCAAGTTCTAATGCTTTCTCTGTGAGATCAAGGCCAGCCTTATCTGCATAGTGAGTTCCAGGCCAGCCAGGGCCAGAGATCCTAAAAAAAAAAAAAACTTTTAAATTTTCTCTAACTTTTGAGGAACTGGAGAGACAACAGTATTGTGCATGTCTAACTTCTAATTATCAACAAACTGCCTACTGAAAACTACCACTTACCATGTAAGAAAGCAAGTTGTAGTAGATTCTTTGGGCTACTTATATCAGAAACCAGCTTGCCTTCACTTGAGCAAGAAAGAAGAATTTATAATAAAATATGAGTTGTTTCATTGTAGCTCAGAGAAAGAAGGAAGCCAGATTCCAAGGAAGGACTAGCACTCGTAACTTAAGTGTCCTTTTCATCGCTGCATATCTGTCTACTTTATCCTTCTGTGGTCTCTAATACTTGAACTGCTAGACACAAATTGATACCACACAGCTGCCAAGTAATCCACATGCAAGGACTAATTAGCCATCTCTGAATCCCGGTTCCAATTCAAAGGGAAAATTTGGAGCAACCCATCCACTAAAAGAACTAAAACTTTAAACATTTTTTTCTCTAGTTTTTGTCATATTATCAAAATATTACTTCAGGTTTTACAAATATTTCAAAATCTGCTCTTTGTGTTTTTGTTTTCTTTTTTCTACCTAATGTATTTGTATTGCTTTACAGATGGCAGAAGATCTTTTCATTTAGTGTCTGGGGTAAAATTGCAAGTTTTTGGAACAAAGCTTTCCTTACTATTATAGTCCTATTGATTGTTTTGTTTCTAGGTAAGTACTAGATCCTTCCTTTGAATCTAGTTATTTTTAAATGAATTTTTTGGTTTTTTTATTGGTTGAATTGATGTTGCTACTGATACATTTATAAATAATTAGTTTTATATATCATTATTACAGTAAATATTGTTATTTTGATGCTTTCCTACTGTTTCATATACACAAACATAAGTTTCAGAGAAGTGTAGTGATTCTTTTAGGTTATTTTCAGGTGTAAATGCAGTAGTAACAAGTGGCCTACTTTCCAGTTGCCAGCTGTAGGTTCACATGATTACCAGCTACAGTCTTTTTTGTTACAATAGTGTCTTAGGCATCCAGGAACGTAACTGGTATAGAACAAAAGATTGGTATCATTAGGTTCTTAAAAGAAATCTTAGGGGCTGGAGAGATGGCTCAGCAGTTAAGAGCACTGCTGTTCTTACAGAAGACCCGGGTTCAAATTCCAGCACCCACATGGTGGCAAACAACCATCATAACTCCAGTTCCAGAGGATCTGATACCCTCTTCTGTCCTTCTCAGACACTGCACAGCATGGGTGCACTTACATACATGCAGGCAATATACTCATACACATAAAATAAAAATAAAAGTAAATAAGTAAAAAAAAAGAAAAAATCTTAGATACAAAGTGTGAATCTTCATTGAGCCTAACTAAAAGCAACAACTCCATCACAAATTTGGAAGCTACTGAAAAATTTTGAATATTGAGAGATTATTAGGTAATATTAGAAAACTTTTGTTAGCTTTACTTGTGATAGCAGTATTTTATAGCACCCTAAAGCCTATGAGCCACAGGCCTGTTTTGTAAATAGAATTTTATTGCAACATCACCATGCTTGCTTGTTTGCATATCATCCATGCCTGTTGCCACAGACAACTCCAGATTTTAGAAGTAGCAGCTATAAGGCTTAAAACATCTATTATCTATCCTTTTGTTTAAAAATAATTACCAGTAGCTTTTATGTAAGAATAAGTCCTTAGCATAAGATGATGTGTGCTGAAACATTTAGGGAAAAGCGTCAAAATGACTTTGAAGTGGATTTTTAAAAACAAAATAAATATGGCAAATTGTTCACAATTTTAGTCCATATGATAGAATTTATAGGTGTTCGTTGGACAGATTGAGCATCCCTGATTGAAAATTATAAATACAAAAACTTTGATCCAAAGAATTGGAAACATTTTAGCACCAACATGCTGCCACAGGTAGACAATTCCACCCACACCTTATGTGATGGAATCCAGTCCAAACCCAAGCACAATAAAAACATTGTGTGAAATTAACTTCAGGCTATATCTGTCAAGTATGTCTGAAACATAAATGGGTTTCATGTTTACATTTGAGTCCCATCTTTAAGATACCTCTGTGTATATAAATGTTCCAGGATCTGAAAAAAAGCCTGGATCCAAGCACTACCAAGCCCAAACTTTTTGCAGGAGAAATACTCAGTCTATATGAGTTTTTCAACATCTTTGAAATGTTCATGGCAATAATACTTCATAAATTAAAAGTAGAACTTAGTTTTCAAAACAGAGATTTCATGAGTCTTCATAGTCACCATGGAGATAAGGTATCTATCCTTATCTGTTGAACTGTGACCAGGGCACAGAAGGCAGAATCAAATGACTGGAGTTACATCCACTCCATTAACATTATGGATAGTTAAGGCAGGCAGATAAGACTTACCTGTTCCCTAAATCTTGGTGTCTTCATCTCAAATGGACTATCACCTCCTTCACTAAGGTGAGATAAATAATATATAACCAGTATATTACTGAAACTTAAGTTATACCTTACTTTGGAAATTGTTTCATTTTTCTTGATTGTCAAGTAATTACTACAGGGTATTTATATTCCTCAGGCAAGACTTAACATATTTATTATATGTATGTGTTTTAGGGTGGTAACAAACTGGAGAGTGGCAAACCCAAGAATATATGTTTAGTGTTAGTAGAAGTACATTCTAAGAGAAAGTTTTCAGAAGTTAAACCCAAAGACTGTCTGCCTATGATTTACAGAAAATTGGACTGTATATCACACTCTTCCCTTATTGTTGATCCCACTCCATTTTCAGCATACTCTAGAATTGAAAACAAGCCAGAACAAATGAATCAAATTGTAATTAGATCACATGTTATAGAGAAAATAATTATTTCAAGCAGCAATATATATTATATGAACACAAAGGATTATAATGAAATCCGAGGCTTCACTTAGTGGTTTCATTGTTAGTAATTTAAAACTACTTTATAGCTGAGTGAGATTGTGCATGCCTTTAATCCTAGCATTGCAAAGACAGGCATATTTCACTAAGTTCAAGACTAGCCTCGTCTACATATTGAGTTCCAGGACAATCAGGAACACTGTCTCAAAAAAAAAAAAAAGAAAAGAAAGGTGAGAACTTTTATTTTGGATTACTCTGTTTGGGATTTATTTTGGAATGGTGGAAATGTGGAACTATACAGAGGTAGTGGTTGTAAACTATTGTGAAATGACTGCCACCATAGAATAAACTGAATCCCATTTTAACCAGCCTATGCCAGTGGAAAATTCAATGTAGTGAAATATTTCTGGTCTCAATCATTTAAAGTAATATTAAATATAATAAAATGCAAGTGCCCTAAGTGAATCACATCTGTTACTGCCCATCAGTTGATTCATCCATAGGAGTAAAAGATAATAATTCACATTAAGCAAGAAATGACAGTACAGTGATGATAAGCCCTAGATGAATGATTTTAAAATGCTATGGTGGCTGGGTATAGTGGCACTTGCCTTTAATCCTAGCACTTGGGAGGCAGAGGCAGATGGACCTCTGTGAGTTCAAAGCCAGCCTGGTCTCCATAGCAAATCCAGGCCAGCTGTGACTACAGGGGAGACCCTGTCTCAAAAAGACCAAAAAAATTAATTAATAAAAAAATGCTATGATGATTCATAAGCTGCTACCACTAACCACTTACAAAGTATCTTCTTTGAACATGATACCCTCTCAAGTACACAACCGGGAAAGACAATGAGAGCTCTACCTAAAGTTTATTAGTAAAAGGCTTAGAAAGTTATTCTACAAGTGCTTCTCATTTTAAATATTCCTAAACATCAAAATAATGTTCCCTGTCCTTCTCTGACAGATGCTGTGAGAGAAGTAAGGAAGTACTCCTCCAGCCATGGCATTGAGAGGAGCACAGGTGGGAGACCTAGTGCCCATGAACACACACAAATGAAGCTTTTTAGATCTCAAAGAAATCTGTACATTTCTGGATTTTCATTATTTTTTTGGCTGTAAGTAAAAGAACAATTTTAGCACATATAGGATTCTCTTTCTCATTTTTCCCACCTATACTAAGATCTCTTTGTTAACATCTTCATAAAAGAACTCAGCTCTATAACTCAAACAATAGTTGCAGCTTGTAGGTCTACCAGTTACATAGGGCCTTGAATGATCTGATTACTGCCTTCTCATAATGTTCTCCAGTACTTGTAGTATAGTCTATGCCCATTCTCCTTCACTGTTCATTCTTTAAAAAAAAAAATAGTTTTATGGTATGTCTCACTTCTTCCGCCTCACAAAGACCTCCCTGCCTCTGTCTCCCAAGTGCTGGGACCAAAAGTGTGCACCACCATGCCCAGCCTTCTTTTCCCTCTTTAACTTTTACTCAAAGTAGATAGGTCTTCTGTTATATTCTCTCTTAGACTATATGTAGATTTTAACATCTAGTGTCATTCCCAGTTGTGATTTAATATGTTTTATTCTATGTCTCCAACTGGAACCTAAACTTGAAGAAAGGAACTAAGTTAATTTTATGCTGTAGCCCCAGTGCCTAACACAGTGTTAACACTTACTTCCTCAGGAAATACATGCTGAAAGGAATAATTGAGGAGATTAATTATAATTTCTAACAGTGGGGGTTAGCCATAAACATGAATGTACAACTTTTAGACTTAGCCAGACTTATACATTGTTCTTCAAATAGAAAATTTTGAATTAGTCCAAAAAAGGATTTTCTTGCTGGCCTTGCCATACCATCTGAAATTCTGTTTTACTCCTTTAGGCTAATCACCTGTATAAGAAATATAATACCAATATATGCAAAAAGCCCTGGATTTGAACCTCAGCACTACCAAATTTTTTTTTTTAATGCCACTCCATCTGTGTATTCCAAGTACAAGTCTTTTAACAAGATTCCAAAGGAATAAGGCACAATTTATTTTAACTGACAGGCGTGGTTAGTTTTTTTTTGTTTGTTTTTTGTTTTTTAAGAAAAGATTGTATTTCATGGGCTAGGGAGATGGCTCAGCGGTTAAGAACACTGGATGTTCTTACAGAAGACCCAAGTTTGAATCCCAGCACCCACATGGCAGCTAACAACTGCCTGAAACTCCAGTTCCAGGGGATCCGACGGCCTCGTCTGTCCTCTGCAGGCATTGGACGACACTGTTGCACTTACTTACATGCAGGCAACACACTCACACACATAAAATAAAAATAATAAAATATTAAAATTTAAAAAAAGATTGTATTTCAGTATCACTTCCACTATTGCTGTTCCTCTATTCCTAACAGAGTTCTTTGACAGTAGCTGTTTGTTTTAAAGTCAGAGTTCCTGGCAGTTAATCAGGTTTAGTGTTATTCTGAACTTCATTTGTTTTTTTCTCAGAGTGTTGAGACGTCTGGTTACACTTATTACTCAGCTGGCAAAAGAAATATCAAATAAGGGAGTGCTTAAAACTCAAGCAGAAAATACTACTAAGGCTGCCAAGAAATTCATGGAAGAGAATGAAAAACTAAAATGGGTATTTAATTTTCTTTGTAATAATTTGTATCAATAGTATTATCATTCACAAGGAGTAATATACTATTTTTTAAGCATCAAAAATAGTATTTTCATAATTTATCAGCAGAAAATGGCCACAAATAATAGTATCCTTCTATGGAATGCTTATTTCAAAAACTTTACTTTTCTTTAGGTTTGTTTGTTCCTGTGCTTTCCCTCAATAATAAATTAATGCCAGTGGTCCTGTTTCCTAGATTCGAGGAGAAAACATCATGGGAATTTGGGTTTTCTTTGGTTTGGGGGGGTAGGGGGATTTGTGTGTGTGTACGAGTGCATTTCCTGCATGTGTTTAAGTGCTCCTGTGTCTTTCAGTGTCCACAAAGGTCAGAAGAGGGCATAGGATCCCCTGGAACTGTAGTTATGGACAGTTGTTAACTCACCCAGGTCTTCTACAAGAGCAGTCAGTGCTCTTAACCACTTAAGCCATCTCTTCAGCCCTGGGAGTTGTTTTTTTATTAGTTTTTTTTTTTTTTTTAATGAAATTTGTTCATTGATTTTGTGCATAGTGCATCCTGTTTACTTTCACTTCCTACCCTCTTTCCACCCACCCTTGGCATCCCCTTCTCCTCCCTCCAAGCCCCTTTTCTACATTCATATCATTTTATTTTGTTTTGACCCACTGAGTTTAACCAAGGCTTTCATGTGACCATGTCTTTGGAACTATCCATTGGAATCTGGTGGCCGCTCCAGTGTGTACACAGCTGAAGACAATGACTGCCCCTCACCCTGAATTTTTCAATACCCAGTAGCTTGGAAGGAGGAATAGGGCTCCATGAGCCCCTCCCCTATCCATGACTGACTGTTGACAGGGCTGGTCTTGTGCAGACCCAGTACAAGTAACTATACCTGCTCTGAGTTCAAGATTGCAATGTGTATGTCATGCCTAGAATATGGTATTTCTCAACTTTCTGGAAATATGAACTTTAACTCCTTTATTACCATTAATTTTACTTTATAACCTAAAGTAAATCTTTTAATTCTTTGTGTACATTGTCTGCTAATTAAAGTACGATTGTTTTTATGAAAAATAAGGATTGGTTTTATGGGAAATAGATTGATACTACATTGATGATTGCACAAAATATTTTAAAGTCTTTAATTTTGGCGATGCTGATAGTCCATTGAGAATCTTATGCAGTATTGTTCCTCTGATAATTCAGGAAGTGTTTGTGTCTGCTAAGTACTTATGTATGGCCTATTAACCAAAAAGAATAATAGAAAAAAGAAACACAAAATTACTTTGGGTATTTTCTTTTTAATTTAGTACTCAGATATCATAGTGTCAGTGTTTTTTATTCATTCTAAGCCCCATACATTTTTGAAAATCTAATTTTTAGAAAATAAATCAATGGAACCACTTAGAAATAAAACAAGTTTTCTTGAAGAAAGTGTTCCTGAAATAATGCATTAAGATTATTTCTTAGCGGACTGCAGAGGAGACAGTGATTAAGACCACTGCTTGCTCTTGCCAATGACTGGGGTTCAGCTCCTAGCACCCACTTGGTAATTTACAACTGTCTATTACTCTAGTTCCAGGTGTCTGACTCCCTCTTCTGGCCTACATGGGCACCAGGCATGCATGTGGTAAACAGTCATACGTATGCTTAAAGTAGATAAATCTTTTTTTTTCTTTTTTTTTGAGACAGGGTCTTCCTGTAGTCCCAGATGGCCTGGAACTCACTGTGTAGATCAAGCTGGACTTGCTTGAACTCACGACTGCTTCTGCCTCCCAATTGCTGGGATTAAAGGCATGTGCCACCAGGCCTGGCTGGATAAATCTTTTTTTTTTTAAATTATTTATCAGATTGGGCATAGTGGCACATGCCTTTAATTCCAACAATCAGGAGGCAGAGGCAGGAAGATCTCTGTGAGTCTAAGGCCGGCCTGGTCTACATAGTGAGTTCCAGGTCAGCTAGTGAGTAAGACCCTATTGCAAGAAAAAAAAATTCTCCATTACAAATGAAATAAATACAGTCAGTATGCATTATTCCAAGTTATAGTTGTGTAAGAAACACTTCATTGTGTAGGGAATATTTCAGTTAGCTATAATGTACAATTTAAAGCTTTCTAAGATATATTAAAAGAAGCAAAACGTCACCTACTCAAAACCTATATTTTACTTTTTATAATATTTGCCTTACACTATAACAAAAAATGGCAGAGAGAAAGACCTCATTTCATAGAAACACAGTTCAAAAGTGTTTCTTTTTTTTGCAACGACACTTTATTCTTGGACTGGAGATATGGCTCAGTTGTTAAGAGCACTGGCTGCTCTTGCAGAAGACCTGGGTTCAGTTCCCAGTACCCACATGGCAGCTAACAACTGTCTTTAACTTCAATTCCAGGGGATTCAGCACTCTCTTCTGACCTCTACAGGCATTGCATGACATGAGTGCAATTTATATACATGCATATAAAACACTCATACCCAGAAAATAAATAAAATTTTTAAAATTTAAATGCTTTTAAATTTTTCACTTAATTTTGTTTTAGGTGTATGAGTGTTCTGTATGCATGTATGAAAGTGTACCACCTGTGCAGTGCCTGCGGAGGCCAAAAAACGGAGTTGGATTCTCCAGAACTGGAGTTAAGGACAGTTGTTAACTGCCATGTGGGTGCTCGGAACCAAACCCTGGTCCTCTTCAAGAACAGTCAGTGCTCTTAACCTCTGAGCCATCTATCCAGCCCCCCAAAAATGTTTCTTAAGAATAGATTGTTACTGACTTCTTTTATGGAAATAGAATGTAAAAACCAGTTTATATTTTACATTGTTTTAGTCTGATTTTTAACTTATAATTACTATATGTGTGATGTGTGGAGAGGGCATGCATGCCACAGTGAACATATGGTCACAGGACAATTTTGTGGAATCAGTTCTCCCCTTCCACTTTTATATGGGTTCTGGGGATCAAACTCAGGTCACCAGGCTTGCAAGGCAAGCACCTTTACCCACTGAGCCATCTCACCAACCCTTGTTCTGTTTGAAAAAGGATTGACCTGATGTATTTTAAACTTCTGCTTATAGTAACAGTTTTCTAGAAGTTAGAATGTAGACATTTTCTATATTTAAAAGCTACCTTAGTAATTTTTGCTTTTGGGTCCTGTTGTTTCAGCAACACAATTTCATTTTGTACCTTAATGTTCACTTTTTATCTTTGACCTTATTTCATAATTATAACATCCAAAACACAAAAAATCCTCAAATCCTCGATTAATATCTCATGACTAAATTGAAAAGCCTGCAGCTTTGTATTTATTGAAAGACTCATATATCTTCAATAGTTTGAAATATGCACATCATCTTAGAGTGAATTATAACTACTATTGGGGTACTGCCTTCCCCCCTTCAGTTGTTTGTCTCTTGAGCTATAAGCAAATAGAGTATTTTTATAACGTTTTTGATAGATTTTTCACATATACATCATAACTAATGGACTTAGTATTTTTCCTTCAAAAATTACTTTCTCAAAATATCTTTGGAACTTTTCTTTTGGAACATTTTCCAACGTATTTACTTGTGCTAGAAAATTTAGTTCTGTTCACTGATTCCTGGGTCCTCCACAATTCATCTTTTTTTCCCCTTTGGTTCTGTACTGTGCTGGTTCTCTGCTTCCTGTATAGCTCTTACCCAGTCAGTGATCTGAGATTACAAAAAGCACAGATAACGCTCAGCTAAAGCTAGCACACAGTGGGAAGTCTGTGAACTAGACATAAATACTGCCAGTGCTTAGAATAAAACTAATGGATCACTAAAGTGACCAATAAAAGCCACAGATGAGAATGTCAAAAATGTCTTTGATTTCATGGTACTTGATATGAACTTTGAAATAGTAGCAAAGGAAGAGGAAAGTTGATTTTAAAAAAATATCTCTTTGTTCTGTTTAGGAATATTATCTACCTAAAAGTACATAATCCTGAGATTCAGAGGCGTGGGTACCTCTAATTCCAGAGACTTGGGTGCCTCTTATTTTAACACTACCAGTAGTTAGCAGTGTTACCTGGGGCAAGTCACCTCATAGGTTCTGAACTTTAAAGTTTCTTAGCTCTGAATAATAGTTAACTCTATGCTAAATGTTACTTCAAGTGCTTCGCAATAAGATAATAGCCTTTACTTCTCAATCCCATGAGGTTTGTATTACCTTAATTTTAGAACTGAGGAAACAGGGACAGAAAGGGTAACATAAAATCATACGGTGGCAAAAAAAAATTTAATCCATGCAGCCTGATTGTAGTAGTGTGCTAGATAGCTTTAGTTGTCAACTTGACACACCTGCCTAGAGGGAGCCTCAATTGGGGAATTTCCTCCATTGGACTTACCTGTGGCCATGGGTAGGGGGTATTTTCTTGATTTTTGAGTGATGTGAGAAGATCCAGTCCACTGTGGGCAGTGCCACCCCTGGGCAGGTAGGCCTATATTGTAAAAGAAATCAGGTTGAGCAGGGGCCAGGAGAGCAAGCCAGTAAGCAGCATTCCTCATAGCCTGTGCTTCAGCTCCTGCCTCCCAGTTCCTGCCCTGAGTTCCTAACTTGGACTCCCTGATGAACTGTGACCCAGGAGATGTAAGCCAAATAAACCCTTTCTTCCCCAAGTTGGTATTGGTCAAGAGTATTTTGTCACAGCAATGGAGAAACAAACTAGAACAAGTAGCCACACTTATAACTATGTGTTTTGTGCCTTCAACTCAAAATGTTATCCTATAAAATGACTTGGTTTGGGTACACAAGACCTATTTATGCTCTGATAATCAGTTAAAGAAATAATTATGAAACAGCAATTAACTTAAAAATTTTTTTCAAAACAAAGCCTCTTTATGAAGCCCAAGCTGTCTGTGAAATCACAGTCCTCCTGCCTCAGGTTCCCACCCAAATTCTGGGAATTCTGATGTGTGCCTCCCTGCCTGGCTACCAAGTTAACTGCTTTAAAATGGCAGTGTGAAGCTCTACTGGCCTTTATTCCCAC